CATAGTAAATATTTCTAAATTTATATAAATCGAAAAACAACAATAAGGAATCATCCGAATTACTTGAAATAGTGCAATTTGTATTGAATATCAATAATTTTTTTATCGTTTTCTTGCTAAGTATTTCGTAATTTTGAATAAATAATTTTGTAGTGTGTCTACCGCAACAAAAATACAATTCCAATTTACTAGTATATAAAACATCTAGACTCGATTCTATGACGGGGTACCTCTTCATAGATGAAAGTTGACATTGTCGTTAACAACTCTTCCTACATTGGTGACCCGGACGTGATGCGAACACGCCTAACTGGACAGTAACGCCCACTTCGATCCGAACTTGCCTACTTCAATTGATGATCCACATTGTACAGTTGACTTGCAACTTGTGACTGCGAAATTATTCACCTCCTCGCGCTGTTTCTACTCAGTCTCGATCACACACATAGAGCAACTTATTTACTCATTTACTCAACTGAAAATGGCAACACAGGAGCGACCACGACAGCGAACTTAATACAGCTCTCACAATCAGCATTTAAAAGTACGGTGATCTTAATACAGCTCTCTGGGCTTTTCACAAAACAACAATGAATCAACTAGTGGTATCCGTTCATCGAATTCCATCACAGATATGATTCTGGTCGGGGAGTACTGTAGTGTGTCTACCATTATAAAAATACAATTCCAATTCACTAGTATATAAGACATGTTAACTCTATTCTATGACGGGGTACCTCTTCATAGATGAAGGTTAACAACTCTCCCCACAATTTTAACTAGAATTTAGCTATTCTGTTTTTTAAGTTACATATTGAAATTCATATCGAGATCTTACAATTATGAAATTTGGTTGTGTGGTAAGTCATCTAAAAGTAATGAAGGGATTATCTTTGTATATATTATTTGAGAATAAAATTTTCAAACGAAGAATATTTCTTTGGAAATCTCCGGATTTATAAAGCAAGTAAGTGTTATGATTTTTATAATAAAAAATTTACTTGCAAATAATTTTTTTTTCCAATTTGGTGATAGTTCTCTACAGAATGGTTTTCTACGTCTGATTAAGAACTTTAGGATTTAAAAAAAAAGATAATATATGAAAGTTTTTTATTTCAATGTGAGGAATTTTCAAAATCATTTTTTTTATGGTAAGCATTCTTTATTTTACGTTTTTTAGTTTATAAATAATGATTTTTTTATTGAAACTTCAAATTTTTTGATAAAAATTGTTGTCAACAAACTTTTTTTGCAAAATTAAATTATATAACATTATGTGCTCCTGTATACTTTTTGCATAATTTTAATATTTGAAGTAATATGATACAGAAAAGTATGAAACTTAAATAGATTTTTCACACTAGATCATTAAATTTAGTAGAATGATTTCTCAGGCACTAGGTTTTGACTCTGACTCTAATAACAAGACTTTTTTACAAATATTTTCCAATGTGTTTTGGATGTTCCTTCTCTAAAAAAATATATTCCATTTTGTTTTCACTTGCATGCGAAAGAATATCATAAATTTTTCTTTTTTAAATTTCATAAGCCACAGTAAAAAATGAACATTACCATACTACACTGATAAAATCTCCAGTGCAATTGATAATCCAGTTGTTCTGCTAGCAGGAATACGTCTCAAATAACAACGCCCCTATAGGTCGTTGCGTTCGCGAATAGCATATCTCACTACTATATATAAAAATCTAACGATTGCGTCGCAGTTTTCCACTGTTTTCTGTGCATTATTTTTTGGTCGGATAATTACGTGGTAGTATCGACATTTCCCCATTCATTTCTATATTGTTTTGGTTGTCATCAGCATAAAACTACGCGATCGCAGCACTTGAATACGCCATCCAGAGGGTAGTATATTTTAGGGCTTTCATTTAATAAGTTTTCATTTACTTCTATCTGAATCATAGCTTCGGATCAACTTCAGGTATGTTTCCCAGGCAGTCGCCAATAGCCCATTGTGCAGCTCTAAGGCGACGTAAATAAAGTGCTTACCTACTTCTATCAGAAACATTGGCAGAGTAGGGCGCCATTTTTTTAGCAGCAAATAACAAGCAAAATTTCCCTGAGGAAAAGGTAGAAGAACTTGAAAAAAACAAAACGATCCAGAACAATGGTAAATCTTTCTGAAACAGAACATGCCCAACAGTTAAACAATTACTCAACAATTTTTACTTTTCTATAATCAACAAACTTGTAACCTATAATTTCCAATTTCGTGATCACATACTGTTTGTGTACTACGGTAAATATATCTATATATGTTTTTTTGTCTTCAATTCATTGCATATTCAAGTGAAGTCAACATTCGCGATCGCAACGCTCGAGTACGCCCTCTAGCGGATAGATATTTTCAGGCTTTTATTTATCAAGTTTTCATTTAGTTCTATCAGAATCATTAGCAGAATAGGATGCCAATTTTTAGCAGCAAATAAAAAGCCAAATTTCCTTAAGGAAAAGGCTGAAAAACTTGAAAAAAAACGACCCAGAACATTGGTGAATCTTTCTGAAACAGAACGCGCCCAACATTTGAAGAGTTTCTCAATAGTATTTACCTTTCTATTATCAGCAACATAACTTCCGATTTCGTGATCGCATGCTGTTACAGATGTGTGTATTACGGTTAAATAAATTTCTTTTGTCCTCAATTCATTACAAATTGAAGTGAAGTCAATATTGCCTACTTCATTCCAATGAATAACTGTGATTTCAGCTCACAGAGTGCTTATTGGTGGAGGAACAATTTTGAGTCTATAAAGATGGTTTCTTAGACAGTCATGTTCGGTAGCTAGGCGGAATTCAGCCACTGCTTTACGCCTTTGGCTATTACACAAATTTGGGATGGCATTCTTCCAGGACTTCATACTTGGCGAGTAGTTTATTTGTTTACGAGAGAGATATTGAGAAAACCTTTCCTGTAAAAATTAGAGATCTTTTATTTATTGAAAATTAAATTAATTAATCATAATGAAATAGAAAAACAATAATAAAGTGTAATTTCAAACAAAAAAGCATTAAAAATTCATGTTATTTTTGTCTAAAACAAAACATATTTTTAAAGATAGATTTTTTTTCATAAAAATAATTCTAGTGAAAAAGAGTTAGAACCAGCTCATCACATTTTTTTTTTTTTTTTTTTTTGACAGAATTTGCACTTGTTAAAACTTCTTTTGAAAAATCTGAAGGAAGAAAAACTTATTAAAATATATGTTGTAGTTTAGATGATTCGTTGTAAAAAAAATACATAGTGAGTTGTTTTTAAATTTTTACATATCATATTTTCTTAAATCTATAAAATACGTACTCAAGTATATGGATTAATACGGGTATAAAATCTTTTTAACCAATACTATTATATTTAAAACGTATACATTAAACTAGAAATTGCAAAAAAAGAGAAAAAAAAGCAATAAATAAATAATTGTACTCTTAAAAAGCGAGAGATATGCTTTGAATCGTAATGTGTTTTTTAACACAAAAATGAGAGAAAAATTTATTTATTTGCATAAATTGTTCTAAAAATATAAATTTCTTTACAAAGAATATATTCATTAAAAAAATTTTAAATATTTTGAAAAATAATTATTTTGATAGAAACCTCCAATTAACAAGTATCTAGTGATCTCAAAAGTTAACGCATATGATTTTTTTTTATTTTATAACCACCGTCGAACGGCAGACCAAATTTTGAGTTTACCACTACCAATGTTCAACTCCGCAGCCTTGTGATTTTGAACCTAATCCAGAAAGCAAGGGAGCTACAGGATCAAGTATTGGAAGAAATTTGCTTTCATGGGGGATTTTTTGATGGAACTAACCCGCATTTGCGTTACATGGAGAGGAAAACTACGAAAACTTCCCACGGTTAGTCTGGCGGTAAGGGTACTCTAACTCATGATCCGTCTATCACTGAGGATATTTTGCACTGTGGTCGTTATGCGGATATTACTGCACTGTGGTCGGTGGCGAGTCGGGTGCGGAATTCTTATGAACCAGACATGGCTGGGATTCGAACCCTGTTCACCTCTTTGGGAGAGGAACGCTCTATCTCCTGAGCCACCAGCACCGCAGCTCAATTCATATTATTAAAAAATTGTTACTAAAACCATACACCAATCTTAGGATGAAAATTTAAAAAAAAAAAATCAGTCTAAAAACTGATAATGCTGATCGATAACCGATAGCACTGTATCGTTTTATATGCTCCCCGTTACTTGCAGAACAGTTGAGTTGGGCGATACATCTATACCCCGTAAAATACTGATATTATTATAACTATCGCAATAATGATATTTATTTCTAGTAATTTCACGATATATCGCAATGTACAATAAATATCTAATACACGATAATTATCGATATCGATAAATATAGAATACAAGAATTATGAAATATGGTAATATCTCGATAATTATTGATACCGATAAATACAGAATATAACAATTATCAAATAAGTTATTAATATCACGATAATTATCGATACTCATAAATGTAGAATACAACAATTATCAATTATGATATTATCAGGATTTTTATCGCCAACGATAAACATCGAATACTATAACAATAATTGTCATTAGATATTATTGTTATTATAAATAAATTTCATTGGCGTAAAAAAAAACATTGATAAAAATAATGTAAATTAGTTACATAAATAAATATTATATCACTTTTTGCTGATTATGTATCGCGATATTAAAATTCCGTCGTCGTTTAAAACTGCAGTTTATAAATTTCTTCAAGGATTCTCAGAGTTTGCGTTGTTTCGTTAACAAAAGTTTGGCAACTCCCCCATTACACTTATTTGCATTTGAAGTAAAATGGCTAAGATAAAATAAAAGAGAGAAAGTGGATAAAGAAGGGTCAAATGTGTAAAAAAATATTTCATCTTGACCTTCGTCCAATTCTTGTTGGCTTTAATTCTTAAGTTTAGCAACCCGGACGTCGCCAAACTCAAAAAAAAAAAAAAAAAAAAAAAAAAAAAAAAAAAAAAAAAATAGCTTCATTAGCGCGAATGGAAAAGGAGAGGAAGTTGTGTATTGAGATAGATGGTTTTTCCATTAACGGGCTTGTGGCGTAGTTTGGAGCAATTTCTAGTTACGTGCAGCTAGTGTGACTAAATTTTTAAATTAGTTTCACCCGATCACAAGAAGACAAATGCCAGCAGGATGAGTAGAAGAGAGAACCTTTCAAATCGAGCGGTAGATATTGTCGGCGAACATATCGGAATGTCGTTTCTAATAAAAATAGGAATACTTGTTTTGCTGATCACATGTTCTATAGGAAGTAAGATATTGATAAGTTTTTATCTTATCCTTTGGGATGTGAGATTGTTTTGTTATCTATATCAATATTTATATCTGTATAATACTAATTTTTTTCAATTATTAGTACATGATTTGTTTTTTTTTTTAAATGCAAAATTATTTATTACTTCATTTGCTTCAAAAATATACATATTTAAAATAACTGTTGGCATGTTTGAAGCTCTCAAATACAAGCGCCCACTTTTCCAGTTTTGTTTCTCATTTTTATTTTTCCATTTTTCGTTGGTAACTTTATGTTTTATATTTCAAATACCTTTTGTTTCTTTTCATTCATGTCTGGTAAGTCTTGAAAATAGGCGCCTGTTTTTTGAGCGCTTTAAAACTTGCTAACTGTAATTTCCAAATTGTATATTTTTAACGTGAATGACGTTTTTAATCAAATAATATCTTACCGATTCACTTTCTTGGGATTATTTATTTAAAATTATTTATTGTTAGAGATTCTTAATTCGAAAAGTAGGTACCTCTTTCAGAGGCGACGGGATAAAATCTGCTCAATTAATTTTTGACAATGATATAAATCACTATAATTGCATTAATTTTTATCTTTTGAACTACGCGGGTTTTAATCAAGCACTTTAAATTTTGAAAAGAATTAGCAATTTTTGTATGACTACGTTATTCAAGGCTCTTCTTGACTAAAATTTTGGTTCAGCTTTTGCTGTTAAATGAAAAATTAAGAAAGTGTAACTGCAATCCCCTTCCTGAAACTAATTTTTTTTTAAATATATGTATTTATTGGTTTAAATCTGAAATTTAACTTTAGTTTTTAATCTTTTACTCGAATTTAATCTTTTATGAGCCGAAGAGCATAGTGGAAGAAGGTATCAAAACACAATCTTAAAAAAAAAAAAAAAAAAAAAAAAAAAAAAAAAAAAAANAAAAAAAAAAACACGAAATTTTGGGTTTAGAAACATGTTAGGGTTAACTGTTGGTTAACTGTCCTCCAGTTCACTAAGGAAAGTAAGTAGTTTTCGAGAGAAAAAAATTTTATTCAAAGATTATTGTTTTTTTACTAGTTAATATATTTCAATATTTTCAGTATTATATTTCAGTATATAGAAAAGTACACAACGTTATTTAATGAAAATCACATTTTATTTCAAATGATTTTCAACATTTAGTTTACAAGGTTCGTCATTCAGTTTTTGTAAGAATTTTTAATCGTATGGCTTATAAATATGTTTTAATAATGCATCTTTTGGCTCTCTCAAAAAAGTTTTACACTATAATTCCGCATCAAATTAGCATAAATGTATGGTAGTATGTTTCAAAATAAAATAAAGTAGTTTTTGTAATGATATATGAAAAAAAATAATGAAATATTCCTAAAATTTTGAAAAAATGGATTGATTTAAAAGCAAACTTTTTGTCTGTATTGAAACTCTAATGAAGATGTTTAATTAGAACTAGTTTTCTAAAGCATCTTTAAGTCATACAAAATTTAAAAATTTACGAGTATTATTTTGCCCAAACAGGCCAAAAAATGTAAAAAAATACAAGCTAACTGCTTATACAAATAATTATTTTAATATTTAGAAAAATTGAATATTCATATAAATGCCAGTAGCACCAATCCTGACCCCTTCTGCACCCTAATGGAGCAGGGCACAGTTTGGAAATAGGGTTTGAGTTTGGTTTCATTGGATAGGCTTTTCAAAATATCAAACACTTTCATTTTTTAGACCTGACTCGTATTTCTAGAAAAATTTATTCTTTAAGCAATTTAAATCTCGCTTTCCTTTTGAGATTGCAACTCCGCCCTGTGAGCCGAAAAGTCAAAATTTGTATGTCAAATTGGGGTGCATTTTTCTGGAGAATCCAAATCTGCAATAAAAAGTGTGGGTTCTTAATTGAAATTTTTAATTAGACCCCGATTAATCAGATTAGGGGAGATTAGGGGAGATTAGGAGAGATTGGGGGAGTCGATTTTGGTATCAATGAATGCCTCTTTTGAAAATAGTGCATAGTAGTGTATTTTTAAATTTAATATCCGATGCATATTTCATGACCTATTTTATTGTTTTCATATTTTTCGGACATCATGTAGATAAAATATATCAGTCACAAAAAAAAACAAGAACTGTGTCGGAACAAGAGCTAGCTATGCTTGCATCGCTGCGTTTTAAATAGTAGGTAGCAGAAGAATTATGAATTATAAATCTGAAAAGCAAGAGAAATAAAAAAAAATGCACTCGTATTTAAGTGCCTTCAAAAACAAATTTTCTGTAAAAATTGATGAAGGACTGAAAGGATTATCCCTTAGACGCAGATTCCACATATTTACCCTTAGACGTTGGTCATTCTACATATTTTTTTCTAACCATCCGACAGTTACAAGTTAAAACATATTTCAATATTTTTTAATTAAGAAAAACAGTCTAACAGTTGCTAAAAAATATTAGATTATCGGAATTATATATTGCTAAAATATTTGTACCAAAAAAAGTAGTTTGGAAAAATATTTTTGTTTCTCATTTGTATTTTAAACAGTATGAATAATTGATTTTGTGAATTAAAGAAATGTCAATGATGAATAACTGTTTTTCTTAGAAACTAGTGGGCTGCGCCCCCTGCTAGCTAACGCTCACCAACCCCAATTGCTACGCAATCTTATATGATTTGCTTCGCAAACCAAGCTCGCTTCGCTCGCTACTAACTTAGGTACATTGCAAATGCACAAAATTCTAAGAATTCAAAACAATCATTCAAATCCATATAAAAACTTTTTTTTTAATTACATCTTTTTAGTAAATACTAAGTCATTAAAATAAATTTGAATTCAAATAAATGACATCTAATTCGTTAAACCTATTAGAAATGTGCTATAGTATAATTCGTGATATAAATCAAAAATCGTCAAATAAATTCGTAATATATAAATACGTGAAAAAAAGCGTTTTCGACAAAATACTAGAATAGAGATCTATCGACAAAAACTACTCACTTCTGCCTAGCTTAATAGTATGAGATTGCTGCAGATGATGCTCTCTGGTTATTTCAGTTTCCGTTTTCAAAAACGCTATATGTTGAGCCACCTCAGCTAGATTTGGCATGCGGCAAATTTTTAGCGGCAATTATTGGTCGATTCGTCGTGTAAGAGAAATAGTAATGTAAACAAAACAAAACAAATGCTGCCACCGGCAGAAAAGAAATGCAGCCAAAATTTGGGAGCCACGTCAGAGAATTATATATATTAGATAAATTACTTTAAAATTAGTGTAAATTTGAAGGGGAAAAAATTGTTTAAAAGAAAGCCGTGTTTGGAAGATTTTACCTTTAAAGCAGAAAAAAATAACGGTGTTTTTATTTCTTGACCTTATTTTATTAAAATGCTTAATATAATATTTATTATTTAATTTGATCTAAACTAATACAAAATAATAAAAAAGTATGAAAATACAATTTAATGAAAATTCTGTGTTAAAGGGTTAAAAAGATTTAAATTTTTTTTTTATTTTTGCTTACAATTTAGTGAACAAATGAGCAATTACAACTCATTAGCATTGAACTAACAGATTTTTTAAACGAGTCAATATTTTGAAAACTAGTAACCATTCTACTAACTTCCACCATTCTTAAAAATTGATGGATCCCAGAAAGGATTGAAAAGATTTTAACTTTTTCAATAACTGTTGTTTGCAATTCAATAAACAGACGGGCAATTCATTATCATTGAAGTGACAGATTTTTAAAACGAGTCAAATAAAGAGTTCCTTAAAAACTAAAGATAAACCGCAAAACAAAACACAGAATATTTGTGGTAACATCATTCAAGGTCTTAGTGTTTTTAATTGTTCAAGATATCTTGGTTTTTCATGGGAAAATGTTTAGTTATTTAATGGAAGAAATTTGCAGTAGATATAAATAATAATTAGCAATCATTCATATTTCCTTACTGTTTGCTTAAACTTTTTGAACGTATATAAATTTAGATTTTTTAATAACTTTTCATTTACTTTTCAACGTTATTTCAAATAGTATATTGAACTGGAAATAAAAGTTAGATACATTTTTGCCATCTTTAAGACGTTTATATTAACTTGCTCTCGTGTCCATGAGAAAGTGATCCTGCTATCGAAATTTCGACCATTTTCCGACTAGCCAGAGCACTGAAATATATCTCGATGTCTGATGATATTTAAAGTTGTTTTTATTATTGTTTCCTGGCCGCTACAGACAGAATTATAAAGAAAAGTTGAAATGACCCTTTATTAAAATGTTAACCACTTTTCGACTAGTTTATGTGCTTAAACTTTAACTAAAACCCTATGCTGTTTGACAAAAGAAGTGTCAGTCATTTACAGACCGCTACTAGTAGATTCCATCTCCGTATTACCTCCATTGAAAATTCAGCGTGGCTCAATATTTCGATCATTTTTCGACTAGCTAGTTAGCTCAAATTTCAATTGGAACTTATTGCCTCATACCAATGGAAGTAATAGCTGTTACTTAAATGGTACAAGCAAATCTTATCAGCAATTGAAATTTATCGCCAATTTATCTCCAAATCAAACTAACAGGTACAAAATTAAAAAGAACAAAATAAAAAAATTAATTTAAAATTTAAAAACTATGTTTTTTAAGTGGATTATAAAAGAAAATAATAATTTTAAAGGAGGAAAACGTCCGACTCTTTAGTTACGTAAATTTCTATCACTTCAGAATTTTCCCCCATCTTTCTTAAGTGATAGCTCGGGGAAAAATATTAATTTTTTTCTTCCCTTCAGTACAGTTGTAAAACTTAGTTTAAAAAATTTTAATTTAATCTTGCTTTATTCATTTTAACTAAGTTTAAGAACTGTTAAATTTTCAAATAGTGAATGGTAATTAATTAAAAGAAACAGTAGAAATTTACTCAACTGTGTTCCAATTAAACTCACTATTTTTTATGCCATAAACAAAAAACACAGTGTTTATAATATCACTGAAATAATATTAATAGCGTTTTTAGATATT